GGGATTAAAAAACAAACCTACCCTGAGCTCTGCCGCTTGCGAAAAGCACTCCTGCCTGCTCGCTTAGGCACGGCTGGGCAAAACTCTTTCCAAGACTTGCAGAAATATCTCCTAACAAAAAAGCCAGGCTATTTCAGCAGAAGGCAATCAAGTGCAAAATGCTTTCCAAGTGTGCTGGCACCTCCGGCAGAGCCCTTCCCGTTCCTGTCACCTCCATATGCTCTTGCCCAGCAGCCCACCGTGATGGGGCACAGTGGCATCCCAAGCCAGGCAAGTCCTCAAGCGTCAGGGCTGTGAGAGAATTCAAAAGCAAAATGAACAGGTGGAAAAAAGATACAGGGATGGGCTCTGTCAGAGGCTCTCACTCTCTGCAGTGTGTTTCCCAGCTGAGGCATGCAGTCAGTATTTGCTTGCCAGGAGCAGCCGGTTCCCAGACTGTGGGCTGACAGTTTGCCACCAGGAGAAGGCTTTTATAAAGGGGCTTCAGGGAGAAACCCTCCATTTCTCCAGTGCTACAGGTGGAGTCTCCGTGCCTGAGGCACCCCAAGTCACTTGTGCCTTTGGAAAAACTCGGTGAGACCAGTGTGGGCACCTGCACTGTGCTGCTGTCCCATTGCCCTATCTTCAGAGAGCACAGCCACCCATGCAGCAATGGTGGGCATTGATGCTTTTCCTGCTCCACCCCTCTCAGCACCATGTTAGTTCTAGAGCCTGCAAGGGCTCTTTAACACCCATGTTAATAAGCACAAGCAATTGCCTTTTTTTTTCCTTGTGCTTAAGAGAAAATGAAGCGAGGCTTGGGTGACCTGAATCAGTGCTCTCAGAAAGCGTTGGCATTCAACATCACGGGCATATCAGCATCCAGAGTGCCGGCAGCATCTTCTTGGAGCCCTGCCCTCCAGTTAGCCAAGGGAAGCCTTTCCCCCAGCACTCTCTCCATTCCATGAGTTATCGCCCCGTTTGCCACACCATGGGATGGACGACTGTCGGGGAAGCCCCGCTAAATGGGCATTCATTACTGGGAAGTGAACTTAGCATGTAAGCACAGAGGAGAACAAAATAACTGGTCCTGGGTCCTGTGAAAAGCCATGCCCAGGCACGGCCTTCTATGAATAAAGGAGATTAAATATAACATAAGTAAACCCAGAAAATACGCTGTGGAAAGCTACGTGGTAACAAGAGCATTAGTTAGGATGTGTGGCATCGGTCATAGTCTTGTTTTTCTCATTAAAATGAGAAATTTCATTAAAGGAGAGGTTTTCATCCCATGCAAGCCAAGTTCTCAGAGAGAAGCGAGAGGAAGGTGGGAAGGTGGGGCGCTGCGCAGTGGCCAAAGCTGGTGACTTGGCTGCGCTGGAACAGCAGCTTTTGCCTTGCCCCTGGTTGCATCTCTTGCCTCCGGTTGCATCTGCTTGACCTTAACATCACACAAGGTAGTGGGGAGTTTTCTAGGGTTTTTTGCATTTCCTTAGTTGTAACATGTAAGTTTGCTGGCTAAACATGTGGGGGAACATCTGTAAACACTTATGCATGTGATTAAAAATTGCTCTTGAATTAACAAGGTGCCTTGTATGGATAAATGAGAGAAGCAAAAGCCATGATCTTGCCGAGACTGATTATTAGTCTCCCGTAATTAATATTTTTTTCCATGGGCTTGTCTATGTAGCCAGCAAAGCACACAGGCTCTGAACATGTGCACGGTTGCAACTGTTCAGAGAAATCCCATGGACTGCTCTGTCCGTATCAGCATTTACCATATAGTGTCATGTTCGGTTTGCTCCAGCTATGAATGTGTCCTATTTCCTATGATAAACTTATTTTTATGTGTTTATAACATAGCTATAAAAATTCACTCAGAGCTGTGCTTGACAAACAAGATCTCATCTCCGGAGTGACTTATTTTAACCAAATTTTACCAGGTATCACCGCAGATCCTGTTGGGGTGGTTAACAAAAGAAGGGCACGGTACAAGCTAGCTGTGGAGCTGGTGTGGGACTGCTTTGCCTTTAAGAAGGCAGCACCAGCTAACCAAGGGAAAAAATGATGGAGAAACAAGTTAAGACACCTTTCCTGGGCTTGAAAGAGCTGAAGTGCAGGTGGCTCCCAGTGGGGGCAGTTAAACGCAACCCCCATCTACCAAGGATGCTCTTGCTAGCATCACTGGTTGACAGGATGGAGGAGAGCGGCAGCAAGGAGCCAAGACCATTGGGACAGTGAAGCCATCTGCATGTGAGAGTGCCCTGGGCCCCCAGCAGCGTGGGCATGAGGTGCCGCTTGCTCCACACATCACCCAAAAAGACCCAGGGTGAAAGCCCAGTGCAGCTGTCCTCCACCTTGCTCTTCCCTTTGTCACTCCAAGAGCTGCCAGAAAAGCCCATAAGCTTTTCCCCGAGGCACCAGGCAGTGGTCCCACCAGAGTCTCTCACAGGAGAGCATCTCTGCGGCACCCTCGTGCCCACCCTTGGTGCCAGTGGGAATGTGCTGCTCGCTGCCAGCGCTCAGGGAATAGCGTTTGAGAGCACAGGCACGCACGCACCCTCACCGTACTTCTCACCGAGGAAACTGTTTCTTCCCACGGTGACCAAAGCGGCATGATCCGTGTTCAATGGACCTCTGGCTGCGCACCCCCCTTCAGCTGGCCGAAAATAGGGCTGGGGGAAGGCAGGCAGGGGCCAAATTGGCTCCAACCAACTCAACACACACGTGCATGAATGCAAACACATAGATGCCACCCCACACACCTGCATGCGTGCACCCATCCACCTACTGTCATGCAAGCACGCACCTATACATGCACAGACACGCACATGTGCATGCACATGCAGGGATGCTCCTCCATGCACGCACATCCCCATGCATCCCCCTGCATGTGCATTCCCCCCATGCACACATGCACACAGACACCCACCCAGAGCCCCCCACAGGCACACTACTCCTGTTCAGCCTCTTCGTGACCCCCCCCCCCACC